ATCCACTGAGCCACCTAGCTGCCTCCAAGGCACTTTCCCAGGGTCACACAGCTAGTAAATGTCTGAGGCCCTTTTTGAACTCAGGTCTTCTTAACTTCAGACTCAGTGCTCTATCCACTGAGCAAATGAGTTGCGTTTGAATAGATGCCTATAAGTGAATTACTTGTGAGTCACATTGCTGGGTGTCTCAAATACAATTTCTTAATTTTATGCTTTGTGGTTTTTATTTACAAGCTAACAAGGGATATGTCTGGGATCATTAACATGAAAGGGCTTCTGTTCCAGTTCGAAGCCCTTCTATAGGCTTAGAAAGAGGGCAGTGTCCTTTATCCTCCCTCACATTCATCTCTGAGTATCTGCCCGCATGTCTCAGCTTGAGACTTAGGCAGGTTCTTCCTGAGCCTTAGATCAAGTACCTCTCCCAGGAAAGGTTACGAATCATGGGTGAAAGAATTTATACTTTTGGTGAACTTCTAGGGAAGGATCTCCAAACCTTTAAGTTTTTACTCACTGGAATGTCCCATAATTCTGACTATGACGAGGATGGCTGAAGTGATCCTTGGGCAAACAATGAAGTGCTACTGCCAACCTGCCATGTCCCCATGGGGTCTGAGGGTTTGATCTAAGGCCAAGTGGGCTAAGAGAGGTTTGCACAGTACAGATGGCAGAAAAGGGTGATGTGTGGAAGGAGGGACAGCCTTGGCATCTAAATGGGCAGAAGAGGAAAAGGCAGAGAACACCAAGGACAAAATCCAGCATCCGTCACTGAAGTAGTTGTGAATGAATAAATAAAGCATTTATTAAGAGGTTATTACGTACACTGTACTAAGCGATAAAAACACAAACAGAAAAGCAAAAACAGTCCCTGTCCTCAAGAAGCTCACATTCTATGGAGGAAACAACTCAGGTCTTCCTGATTTCTAGGACCAGTCCTTTATCTGCCTTACCATGGTACCTCTCTGAGGAAAAGTGCCTATAAATGAAGGGACTCAGAAGGATTGGTAGGTAATAAGAAGCCCAAAATGGTCCATGGCATCACGAAGCATCAGATACAACTAGGCACAATGAATAACACACACATATAATAAACACCAAATAAATATTCATGTGGGGACACTTACACCTGTGACCCTGGGCAACTCAGTTGAGAGGAAGAGAGAGAGAGAGAGGGAGAGAGAGAGAGAGAGGCTGAAGGACAGAGGAAATGCTCCCATTTAAGGGTATCCAGGGAGTTAGTTCTGGGAACCACAGATTATGGAGAGACACAGGTAGAGGGATGACAAAGAGACCCCTTTCTATCCTCCATGGAAAGAAGGAAGAAAGCATTTATGAAGGACCTACTACCTATGAGGTATTGTGCCAGGTGCTTTACAAATATCTCATTTCATCCTCAAAATAACTCTGCATGGTAGGTGCTATTATCCCCATTTTACAGTTGAGGAAACTCAGGAAAACAGAGGTTGAATGATTTGCCCAGGATCTTGCAGTCTGTAAGTATGTAACACTGGACTTGAACTCAGGTCTTCCTGATTTAAGGTGGTTCTGTGTCCAGGACCAGAGTTCAATTCACTGTGTTACCTAACTGCCATTCTGTAAAGGTTTAAAAAACTCTTTTGTGTGTGTGGGGTGGGGAGGGGCGGTATTAGTGTTTCTATGAAACACTATCTCTGCTCTACACCTCCTGCTTCTTCCTGACTGGCAGTTCTTCCATTTTCTGGAACTTCTGTGCCCTAAACTCCCATCACCCATGACCCGTTGCTAGTTGTAATTGGGGTCTTCCTTTCTGTAATGTCAGAGGTGTGAAACAAGCAGTTGTACTTGTCAGAGAGGTGTCAGCTTCACCCAGCTCAGTTTTACCAGCATCTAGTAGGCTCCTACTGTGTTCCAGGCACTGTGCTTGGTGCTGGAGGTGCAGAGACAAAAGGTGAAACAGACCCTGTCTCCAGGTGTTTACCTTCTCTTGAAGAGAACAACATGTGTTTAACTACAGCAAATGGGTCACAGGTAGCCCAGGAGCAACATCACTATAGAAAGATGAGTTGGAGCCAGATTGTGAAGTTCATTCGATAAGAAGCTGGTGGATTGTCCTAAACCAGCTGCCTCCCACTTGTATTCCTCCCCTTCATGAAAAGAGAGGAGAGACAGAACCTAGATGAGGCTCTTTCCTGGATTGGAGATAGGGATGACCTGGTGCAGAGCTTGAATTGTCTCATCCCCCATCCTTCCCAGGTCTCAGTGGTCTCTCTGGTACCTCAAAGCTCTGATCATTGCATCTGTAGCTCACCAAGTCTTAGAAGGTGGGGGGGCAGGGCAAAAGCATCCAGAGATTAGAAGCCCCGATCAGCTCTGCTCACCCACAAGATACATTTGATCTTGAGCTCCTGCAGAACAAGGGCTATTTGTGCCTTTCTTTGTATCCCCAGAGTTAGCCACAGTACCTGGCACAGAGTAAGTGTGTAATCAGCCCCTACTGATGATGGGATGAGATGGAGAATGAACTTTCCTGGGTCCTTTCTTCTGGGATGCTCTAAGAAAATCAGGTCTGTAAAGACAAATTCAAGTGATGTCATTATCTGGTGAATCCTGAAAGGGTTGGTGTCTGCTTGAATCTCTCATCTCTAGATCAGTGCTTTTTTTAGCTGGGAGCCCCAAAATTCAGGGTTACAGAGTATAGTGGGGAGTGAAATTTGAAGATAAAGGGATGGCATGACAAAAACTATGAGGTAGGAAAGCATAGGACCTGTTCAGGAGACAGCTAGAAGTCCATTTTGGCTGGAGAGTAATAGGGATGAGGGGGAGGGAATAGGGTGAGGTCAGACTGAACAAGCAGGTTCATGACACATGGATAGCCTTCAATGCCTGACTCAGCAGTCTGGATTTCATGAGGCAGGTAATAGGGAAGCCTGATAGATTTTTGAGCCATGGAGTGATGTGTCTATACCTGTAGAGAATTAGGAAAGTCCATCTGGCATGGAAGGATAGGATATGTTGAGGTGATGGAAGGATATGGTGAACTCACTTGCAGATTTTCCCTCCACACTCCATTTATATCACTGAGAACTTGTCCCCCCCTGCTAGACCCATATTACCAACTCCCAAGTACATTTCAAACAGGATGTTCTGTAGGCATCTTAAACTAAACCTGTCCAGAACAGAGCTCATTATCTTTCCCAGAGATGCATTCCTCCTCTGAATTTCCCTCTTTCTGTTGAAGGCTCCACTGTGTTTCCACTCTCCCTGGTTTGTAATCCACTATCAGTCACTCTGCCTCCTGTCACTTGAATGTCCACAAAACCTCTTCCATCCACCCCCTTCTCCTCAGTCACTGGCGGACCTTTGGGTAAGTCACGATTTCTGTCCACCTCATTTTCCTCACCTATTAAACAGGGCTCTTACCTAATATAACCTACGTTAGGGGGTTTTGGTGAGGTCAGCTCAGATAAGGTAGCTGTTACTACTGTGATCAGACTGCCTTAAGTTCTTGGATGGTCATTCAACATTCAGAATGAAGATGATGAGCTGGGTTCTGTGTGGAAACTCCTAGTTACAACTTTGTTCAGGGACAGATTTGGGAGGGGAGCAGAAACATGGGAGGGATTCCTGGGAGAGGGCACTGAAGGGTGGAAGAATTGGAGGTCTTGGCAAGGTTTGGGAGGTTCAGGCGGAGAGAGGCCCAGAGAGAGGTGAAAGGATAGAAAACTGAGTCCCCACTCCAATAGCAGCATGCCCTTTTCCATGTCCCGGGGGTCTGATGCCAGGTCTGCTGGACAATTTGTCAAGTCCTGAGGTAGAGGGCCACAAGTGCTGTGGAGCCTTACCGCCCTCACATGCCCTAGCTCTGCCTTCCTCCTCCCCATCCCATCCCCAACCCCATTCTTGTCCCAGGTGCCAAAATTTCCCCTTCCAACTCAACTGATTATTATACAGGTCAAGGGACCAGACAGGCAGTACAAGGTGACTATCCTTTTTCTGTACAGTCAAAGCATTCTAATCACATAAGAAATATATTTTTCCTTCTTTCTTTCCATCAGCAAAGAGTACATTTGTATTGGTAGAAATTGCTCTATTGGTTATCCTCCTACTTCTCTGACTACTCTTCAGTCTTCTTTGTTCTATCATCATCCATTTCATACTTCCTAACCATGATCATATCCCAAGATCCTCTCCTCTCCCTTTCCTCTCTTCTCCCTCTTCTCTCCTCTCCTTTCCTTTCCTCTTCTTTCTTCCTTCTATTGTTTTGCTCAGGAACCCCATCAGCTCACATCATTTCATTATCATCTCTATGCAGATAATACCCAGATCTATATATACAGACCTAGTCACTCTCCTGAGCTCTAGCCCCATACAACCATCTACTAAGTATATTTGAAACAGAATCAAGTCTTTGTATAGCTTTCTTTTCTTTTCTTAAAGACTGGGCCTCTCTACCTCTCCCATAATGAAAGTAAAAGGGCTATTCACCAGGTTCCACTCTAATCAGATGCCTCAAAAATCTTAGTGTAATTTTGAGCTTTAATAGATTTTTGGGGTATCTTGTATAAGGACAACTCTTGAGGTGGTGGGGCAACCAGGTCAGTGACATCAGTCGACAGAAAATTCAACAGTTTGTCAGGTCTGAAGAGCTCCCCTCCCTTCTTGATATCAGTTTATGTAAGATTCTCTCCCTCCCTCAAAACTCTCCAAAATTATTATTAATGCACTTCATCCATCCCTGTTCTGGATCTCCATGTGCATAACACAATATACATCATTCCTTTCATTCATTCATTCATTCCTTTTTGCTTCCAAAGTGGTTTATGTTTTTTTTTTGATTGCAGAAAACAACTTTAACATTAATTTTTTAAATTATTTTTGAGTTCCAAGTTCCCTCTCTCCTTTCCCTACCCCCTCCTTGAGAAGGCAAGCACTTTGATATAGATTATATACTTACAGTCATGCCAAACATGTTTCCATATTAGCCATGTTGCAAAAGACAATATAGACTAAAAATTATTAAACAAGAAAAATAAAGTTAAAAAGTAGATTTCAATCTGCATTCAGACTCCATCAATTCTTTCTCTGGAGGTAAATAGCATTTTTCATCACAAATTGTTTTAGATTATTGGATTGTTAAGAACAGCTAAATCATTCACAGTTGATCTTGTACAATATTGCTATAACTGTGTGTACCATCTTCTCCTGGCTCTGCTCACTTCACTCTGCATCAGTTCATGT